TTATGAGTAAACAATCCCTTAATTTTGTTCCCTCAACACTACAACTATTCTCCACCCGAGGAATGTGAAATCCAGTCGCTTTTTTCTGCACTCTCTAACACTCACTTATGTAAAATAGCCACGCGAACTTTTTTTTTACCGGAAACTTTGAATTGCGAGCCAAAGATTGCTACGTGGCCACTTGATATGAGAGAGTGTTGGAGAGTGCGAGAGAAAGGCGACTGCCTGTAGCAGTCCTCTTTTCCACCCATTTATTTTAGCAAGTTATAATTATTCAGTCCATATATATAATGTCCTCTAAAAATACAGAGTATGCCAACTAATAAAAAAAATGCAATAAAAAACTAAAGACTTAAATAATTTAATAATTATTTTCTTCCAATAAAAATAAAGGATTCTAATTTCAAGTCATATGATAGGCAAACGACGTATGTTAAAGGTTGACAGAAGATTATATGTCATTATGTAACTCAAAATTTAAAAAAAAATCAGCAAAAAAAAACTTAAATCCTTAACTTTTTCAACATAAAGAGTCATTTGTCATGTTTGCCACTAAAGCAAGAGTGCTTTGATAATAGTAACTCATGTGCAAATATATTTTTTATAACTTAATTATATAATAAAAAAATTTCAAACCTATAACTTTTTACGTACCTTTTTACGTACCTTAATTATATAATGAAAGAAGATAGGTACATATTTTTTCTTTGCTAGAAAATTATCTTCCTGATATATTATGTTTTACTTTCCTTTATATGTGTTGTTTGATATGTTATTTAAATGGCTATGATATTATTATATACTTAACTATTTTCATTGAATAAAGATTTTTCTGATAATTTTGCTGATATTATTTGTGAGATATTTGAAATTTTTTCTTTTTCAAAACATATAATTTTGTGTGATATGGAGCTAGACACAAATGTTTATGACAAGAAATTTTTAATAATGCTTTCTCATAACTAAAAACATTAATAAATGTTTAGTAAATAAGAATAGCAACTATGACATTGACAAAACGATATACATGAGAAGCAATGAGAAGCGGCACGAGTACTACAGTTAATACTAATTAATTTGTAGCTTTTTTTCTACCTTTTTTCTACCAGACAAACAACAGAGTAATTTAATTTATTTTTTAAACCTTGCCATCAATGTTTTGAAAATCAGATCGGATCGGTCGATGGAACCGGTTGGATCGGCATCCAATAATGAAAATGAATCGAGCTGATATCTTAAACCGTTTAGGTGGTTGAACCATTCAAAACTGCTCAAACCGACAACCCGTGCAACCGGCCGGGCCAACTCTTTGGACGAAATTCTCCAAAACTTGCCTCATGTGGGTTTCAAACACCAAACCTCATGAGAGGTTTGCGAGCAATTTGCCACTAGAGCATCGAACCTATTGTGAAATATATCGCAAAGAATATCTTTTAAAGAATATTACAAGGATTTTAAAGGAAAAATGGCTTCCTTTGGATTCGAACGCTGAATCTCTTAAAGGTTTCAAATAATTCTTGCCATTCGATACGAAGCAAGTTTGTTGTGTATTGATGCATTAAGATTTATTTATTATAATAGTATTATGTAAATTGAATAATTTTAACACACATAAGACTCAAACCTTAATTCTCCTTACTATAAGTACGGAGCCCTAACGACTAGAGCCACTACTAATTCATTGAAATGGGTTACACTATATTATTTTTAATATATGGATTCAAAATTCAATCAACTCGGTTTTTTAATCGGTTAAATCGGTTGGACCATCAAAATTGTTAACCAAAGATCAAAACAGTGTGACCTCCAGTTTGATTTTGAAAACATTGCTTATAATGATAAATTCCACAGCCAATATTTAATTATCCCATTTTAATTTGAGCGTAGTTAAGAAGTAATACACTTTTCCACCAAAACTTCTATATAAGGCAAACTGAGAAGGTGCTGGCAGTATGATTTCCTTCTCCCCTTCAACGCATAGAAAGCTAATTAACCTTCCCCATCTCTTCTTCCGCCCAATATCAAAATGGCTAAAATGCCTCATTTAGCCAGTTTCATGACTTCAACAATGTTCCTATTTTGCTCCCTTAGTATCACTATCCTAAATACCACAAGTAAGTAGTACTTCATTTTAGTTATGATGTATAAAAATAATTCATAGTAGTACTTCATTTCAGTTATGATGTATAAAAATAATTCATTCTTTTGATAATTTAATTTGATGTGTGCAAATTGATACAAGAAATTATCAAATATACTCTTTCTAGTAAGTTTTTTTAGCAGAATTCAATGATTTAATGCAGATGCTGACGTTGGTGTTTGCTATGGAATGCTTGGAGATAACTTACCATCCAAGCAAGAAGTCATAGCTCTCTACAACCAAAACAACATCCAAAGAATGAGACTGTACGTTCGGGCGGTTGTTGTTTTGGGGGCCTTGGTTGCTTCCACCTTGGGGTTTTTGTTTGGGTTTGCCACGGAGGTTCTGGAACGCATTGCCAACAGCCAAGCCGAGGCTGACGCCTGGGTCCAAAATAACATCAAAAACTACCCCAACGTCAAGATTCGCTACATTGCAGTAGGGAACGAGATTAACCCTGGGGATTCTGCTGCACAGTTCCTAGTCCCCGCCATGGAGAAAATCCAAAGTTCCCTTTCTACGGCAGGGCTTGGAATCAAAGTTTCCTCCGCCATCCACACAGGTACCCTGGGAGAATCATACCCTCCATCCAAGGGCAGTTTCAATCGTGAATTTAAACCAATTCTCGATCCGTTGATCCAGTTTTTAGTGAACAACAATTCTCCTTTGCTTGTTAACGTCTACCCTTACTTCAGCTACACTCAAAACATGGATCAAATCAGCCTTGACTACGCTCTCTTCACCGCATCAGGACCGGTCGTGTTCGATGACCAGCTACAGTACCAGAACCTGTTT